TATAACTATATATCAATACGGAAAAAATGTTTTATATTTTTTTTATAATATAGCAATGTCAAAAGCCCGAAGGATAAGAAAAATTTCCGTGTTTACAAACGGCGGAAAATTTCCCGTGTTGACATTGAGTTATATCAACACGGCTCTTAGCCTATCAGCGTTCAGAATTTACAAATGCTATATTGTAATTACTGATGTCAGTAGGGAGCTTAAGCAAGTGACTTTTTTGTCAACGCGGACATCTAGATTGCCGGGGATGGGGGACTGGATTAAAAACTGGGTTTGTATCAGTTTGTGCATGGTAATCTTCAACATATATGACAAAACATCAGATTTTTAACGTTTGTTACTTTCTTACACGAGCGCTATGATGCGAAATGTCGCCAAAATTAGGTAACTAATGTAAAGGTAGCACATTCTCCTCAATTGTTTTAAGACCTTGAGCAGAGGCCAGAGGTCTTTCAGCATGAAAAGCCCGGGTCTTTCAGCATGAAAAGCAAGCGTGATGACCACGACACATGCACAAGTGACGGTTTTTTAGCTGTGGCTAATCAAAATATAAACCAAAGTCTGAAAAACAAAGAGAAAATGCTAAAATAGTTTATTTCGTATAATGAAAATAAGAGCCCAGCATAATGCTTTAAACAGAGCCATACACACAAATATTAAAGTTTTAATAAAATTGACGTTTCGTCTTAACTCAAGACATCTTCAGACTAACAGTAAGAATGCAATGACAAGGATTATGAATAAATTAAGTTACTATGTTACAAAGTATTACGCCTGTATTCTGAAAGCTCACTCACACTCAATGAGTGGAGGTTCAATCTGAGCTTCTCTTGAGTGTCGATGCTGTTTTTGAATAGCTAGAGGGTGAATAGTCACATAGTAAGGTATGACACTAACCCTCCAGCTATTCAAAAACAACAATGTCACTCGAGAGAAGCTTGAACTTCCACTCATTGCGTGTGAGCGTGAGTGAGCTTTAGGATACGGGCGTTAGTCTATTTCGAACTTAATACCAGTTATTGTCAACTCAAGTGACTTTACTGAATTAAATAACAAAGTTCTTTTTGTCAACTGTTTTAATAAAAGATTGTTGTTATATTTAATTCAAGTCAATTAGTCTGACGATGAGTTCGAAATATGACTGCCATTTTAATATTCTCTTCTGTTTTTCACTTGCATGTTGACTTTTCACGAGATGATTATCTGCGGTTTGTGTCTTGTTTCATACTTGTTTCTTTTCTGGTTGTAATGGTTTTCAACTGTTTGTTCCCCCTGGAATTCTCCAATATTGCATTGCATTTAATAGTTAATAAATTTCACTAATAACTATATTTGATGTTTGTGATGTTACTCTGAGTGTGCATCCACACCAGGCAAGTTTGAAAAATATGCCTGGCCACGGTGGGAATCGAACCTTCGACCTTTGGATTACTAGCCCAATGCTCTGCCAACTGAGCTACGCGGTCAGGTCGGTTCGAGTATGTGATATTTCAGAACTGAGCCCAGCTCCATCGATATCAATGTAATAATCCAAATTTCGTAGGTTCGATTCCCACCGTGGCCAGACATATTTTTCAAGCTTGCCCGGTGTGGATGCACACTCAGGGTAATATCACAAACATCATATTCACCTCAGTACACAACACCAACACAGCAAATCATAATAACTATTTCTTTAATTGACACAAAGAAAACAAGATTTGAAGATACAGTTGTTAACAAATTAGCGATTAACTAACAAATTAGCGATTGTTCTTAAAAAACCAAAACCGTTCCAATATTGCGTGAAGCGTCAATCATATAGATCTTTCATATAGGCTGTACTGTTGTAGTACTGTATATAATAATGATTTGTTGACTGAGAACAATTATTATTTCCAGCAAATTGAAGGTGTTTCTCCAACTGGTCGTTATACTACAGCTGTTCCTTTACTCTTTGTTTTGTCTTGTTCTGCTGTTAAGGAAATTATTGAAGACTATGTAAGTATCGACACCTGGGCCTGGGTATACTGTACTACTACGGGTAGATTGTGGCATGAATAATCGGTACTCGGTAATTTCTATGTATATGTTAGTCTCAAACATAATGTCCTAGAGTTTCCGTTGAAGTATGTCACCAGGGAACATGCCTGGAAGCACAGAGTTAATCATTGATGCTCGAGAGTTTTTCTTGACAACAGAAACTGTCTCGCATTACAGAGAATTAAAAGTGAAGCACGTGGACGCACTTCATCTTAATATGTTAACATTATAATGATTACTTTCTTGTTATATATAGAAACGACACCGAGCTGATGATAAAACCAATAAAAAAGATATCAGAGGTATTGTGCTCAAGCTTGATCTATTCAAAGCTCTAGGTGCCAGCTCTTGCTATGGTTTGCTTAATTTACTAAATTTGCCTCTGATCAACGTAATTTTCCAAGTCGTTTGCCATCGAAGAACCCTTAACTGTACTTTTATAAAACTCCTGGCGGCGATAAACGAGGCGAAAACATAACCTCCTGGCGGGGATTACAACCCATGAAACTATTTGGCAGTTTCTTACCATAATGTTGACTCAACTTAAACGGTGTACAGGTTATCATTGGAAATGACGATAGGGAACGATTAATTTTTATAACAGAAGATTACTAAGATATAGACGAAAGATACAAGTACAATTTACCGTTGTTTTGTATATATTATGAAACTGCTCAGTGGTTCCCGTATTATTAGACTTCGTAGGTTTCATGGGCTGATTTACATGCATGCCCACCTAGAAACATAAGAATTTGCATTTCGACTAATTGTTGCTGTATTTTGAGTTTAGTTTGGAGAGAGGATACTTATCAAACTGTAAAATGGATGGAGGTAGGTGTATTTTTGCACAATTAAGCAAATAAATTCTTCATACGGTCAACTACTAGAGGTGACTATAGCCAGAATGCATTGATAATATTTTCTCTTTTCTGTCAGCTCAAAGTTGGTGATATTGTTAAAGTGCTAAATGGACAGTTTTTCCCTGCTGATCTAATGCTTTTATCTTCAAGGTATGATGAATTTTGCAATCTGTAATTAAAAATGGGTGACTATTTTTGGAATAAGAAAGTTGTAGTGAATATGTGACAAATAATGTTTTTGCAGTGAACCAATGGGGATGTGTTATATTGAGACTGCAAATTTGGATGGCGAAACAAACCTTAAAATTAAGCAGGTAATTATGAGGTTTTTTATTCTTACCTGTTAAGTAATTTTGTGATATAGCAGCAATTTGCGGTCACGATTACAGTAGGTATTTGTGTTTCAATGGTAAAAGTTTGTAACCATGTTGGCATCACGAGCATGAACTATTAGTTTAGGTGCACAAGAATAACAACCCTGCACTAATGCTTGTACTGTAACTATTTCGCATATGAGTTGGTTCCATTGCTATGGGTTGTGCAAGGGACCTAATCTTTGAAATTTGACCGGGTGCATATGTAGCTCATGGATTATTATTGAATTTCACCAATTGCACGGTGAGGTGTTGGTTTTCTGTCCGTTTGTGATCAGTAACATATCACAAACTTTACACTATAACGAAAATTTTTAAGACCTACCTGTACTTGTAAATGTTTGTGAAAACTGGTATATTAACTTTGCATTTACTTTGTACTCTTTATTTGTTTGTTTTGTATTTTAGGCTCTGCCCCTCACAGCTAATATGGTTCAACCAACTGACTTGAAAGCACTGGAGGTAAAACTTCATTTATGTACATACTTATTTCACGCATGCACACTAAAGTACGCGTTCGACCGTCCACATGCACCCCCTTTCGATAATTACGTCATTTGGCCTGGGAGCCTCGCTCTCGTGATTCGTGAGCCAATCACCTTGCGTAATTTACTAATGCAAGAGCGATGCTCCAGGACCAAAAAAGTATGTGTGACGTAATTATCGAAAGGGTGTATTAGAATTTTCTCTCTATGTTGTGTGTGTGCTTGTATTTCTTACCATTATGCAGGAGTATTTTGTTTATTTTGTTTTTCGACCATACAGTAAAATTTACGTGCATGCATTCTCTTCAAAAACAACAAGAGATTTGGAATGAAGTGAAATGGTTGAAACGCGTTAGGTTTTAATTGAAAACGAATACCGGATCGATGCAAGATTTGTAGTTTAACGCTACCAGCCTTCTGATCACTGGACTATACTGGAATTCCCGATTTGGACAACTGCACATATTCCTACACTGATTAGGACAACACGCAATATTGAATCCTTTATCTTTTTTAGGGACGGGTAGATTGTGAAGGTCCAAATAATCGACTTTATGACTTTGTTGGAAATATCACTATAAACGGCAAGAAGTAAGTGTTCCATTATTACATTCCGGCTACCTTGTTGATGATGTGTAGTTTGTTCGATTAAGATTATCACATTTATCTAAACGAGAGTAGCGGAACATGACTGATATATTATATCTGCATGGCTTCCCTAAACGATCATGTATAAAAAAATATATAACGTGCATACGAGTAGGTTTCTGCCCTGAAATTTCGTTTTTGACATCGCAATGATTTATTGAGCCAATTTCAGTTGTAATTCAGCGTAACATTCGAATTTATTCCTCATTATTTAAAAAATATATGGTGTCAATGTGTATCATCATCTTTCTTATAGAGCAGTCCCTCTTAATCCCGATCAGTTATTACTGCGCGGTGCTCAGTTAAGAAATACTCAATGGATATATGGTAAGTTGAATGTTGCATGCTCTATATTAGGTTTTTTATGTTTTTATCTCGTAACAACCATATGTCACCAGATATAAACTATTCCACACATTCAGTGTCTGGGCCATTATGATTCTATGACCAGTTTTGATAACATTTACTACTATATTTTTATTGACAAGTGATTACTTTGCTGTCTTCTAGGATTAGTCATCTATACCGGACATGATTCAAAACTAATGCAGGTAATGCACTAACTATAATACTGCCTTGAGCTAACTTATCAGAACATTTTAATCCTTTTTGTAATAAATCTATAATGTGAGACTTTGGTTGCATAGTCTTCAAACATTTGTCTTTTCTGGATCAAGGGTTCCATTCTCTCTTGTGGAGTCATGAAATATTTTGAAATGGAAGCCTGGATCTTGGGCATTCTATTTATATTTCAGCGCTTTTCGCGTGAGAAGACTGGTACCTAGGCAATTTGAGGGCGGGGCAAAGGAAGGGCGTAAACGTCATTGAAGTCGATTAACCTGCAAATCAAGTGCCGCCTGCGCGCCGAGAAAAGGTTTAGGCTGATGAAAAGGGTAATTCAACGCTCTGCATTCGCTCTGCCTAAAGTCATGAGCCTTTTCTAACTACTCCGGTTTTATTCCATAAGTTGTGTGGAGAGGTTGGTTCAGGATACAAACCACAATCTCCTCACCGTTATAAATTACTATAAAGTAACTACCCACGTTACACTCTCTCTCTTAAATTAATCAAATTCTTAATTGTAAAGTCATGACCATTGTAGCAATCATTTGACAATATCGTGAGACTGCGCGCAGGCTATGAGCAATGCTGAGATTGATTATTTACTATTAGTATAATTACATAGGTGATTATTGAAAATTCTCCACGCTGATTGGTTGCCGTTGAGGTGATTATTACGCGATAATCACCTAAGCGATTTTCAAAATGGCGGCCGAAGCCTTTTTGTCAATTAAATGACGAAGAAATGTGTATTTTCTTATTTTTTTCCAAATAATCACCTATGAAATTATACTAAAACTATTATTCACCTCAGGCTCGGTGATTATCGTGAATAAAAACCTCGACTTCGTCTCGGTTTTTATTCACCGATAATCACCTCGCCTTCGGCGAATAATTGTTAATTAATATTTTTGTCACTGTTTTTACTATAGAACTCTACCGCTGCTCCAATTAAGAGATCAAACATGGATCATGCAACCAATTTACAAATTTTGTTTCTGTTTTGCTTATTGATGATCATGGCTTTTCTCAGCAGTTTAGGATCGTACCTTTGGACCAGTAAGTTTGATTTGTTGATACAATTCTATAGACGATTACTGTTTATACATTTTATCTTAACTGACATGCATGCATGCATAATAAATGAACGCTCCCCGCAAGCACAATAGACCTTTCCCCTTTTGAGTGAAATTTTGATCTAGACAAGTCTGGACAAAAATTTCATCACAGCTTGAAAGAGCATCGCCAAATTAGTAACATTCCGAAGTTTCGTTGCGAAATGTTGTAAAATGTGGATAATATAGCCTTGCGAAGTTTGCCGTTTTTCAGTCATTTTGTATTACAAATGGGAAATTGATAATCAGTTTGATCATCTGATTTTCAATTTCCCATGCGTAATACAAAATGAAATATGCAATTTTTGTCCAGACATATCTAGATCAAAATTTCACTCATAAGGGGAAAGGTCTATTGGTGTACTGTAGTTGTATTAAAAGGCTATTTAAAATTGAATTTT